GGTCCTGTGGGTGCTGTGGGGACAGCAGATCCTGACCACAGAGGGACTCATTACCCTCCAGAATGAGAGACGTGGCCCTGTTATCCATGAGCTCGCTGAGCCTGGGCAGCCCACAGGAGCAGCGGGTCCTCAGGGGCCGTGCAGCCCCACCACTGTCATGCTGAGAGGCACTAAGACCACCAGGAGGTGGACTGAGAGCATGGTGGCTGTCAGCTAGGGACAGCTGCTGTGCATTGTGGGAAAGCTGTCCTGAAAGGGCTTGTGGAGGGGCATGGTGGGCAGGGGCGAGGCTCCCTTGGCCCCCCCAGGCCTGAGTGTGTATCCCCTCACCTGCGTGAGGACACAGCCTGGGCTCACATAGGCCTAGGTCTCGGTGTGTTTTTGTGAGATATCACCACATCACTCCACCTAAGACTCCTCCATTTTCTCATCTGAAAAATGGGCCCACCAGGTCATTCTGAAGTTAAATGATAGGCTGTAGGAGGTCCTCTGGAGGTGATGCTGCTGTTGTCCCCTGTGCCACTGTCCTCCACACCACTTGCTTCCCCTCCTCAGTTGTCAGCCCCCTCCTGCCTCTCCCCTGAACGGGGTACTTGTAGGCCGGGAGACTCTACCCACAGGTGGGGGACGTGGCTGAGGCTGGGAGGAGCCTTTGGGTGTGGTCAGGATGAGCCTGAAAAGCAGGCTGCAGCCTCCACCCTCACTGTTGCATCTTCCCTCCATCTTTTCCCTGAGATAGTGGGGTGTGGCTGTGACCCTGAAGTATCTCTTTGGCACCAGGAGTCACTCCAGCTGGGACACTCTGACTCTGACCTTCGCTCGCTCTGTCTCCAGCTCACCATGGCCAAACAGCTGCAGGCCCGAAGACTGGAGGGGACGGAGCACAACCCCTGGTGAGTGGCTTGGGCTGGCAGGCAACTCTGGTGTCCAGGAGGGAGAAGACTCAAGGTCAGGCTTGTTCTCCAGTCTGGGCTTTTGCTTTTCAGCTGCTTGGCTGTGGCCCCGGGAGGGTGATTCCAAGCCTCACCTCTTGACTTTACTTGGAGATGCTTCAAAATCCCTAAAGGGCCAATTGTGGTAATCCCAGCACTAGGAGGCTGAGGCAGGAGGTTCACCATGAGTTTGAGGCCCTCCTGGGATACACAAGTGAGTTCAGGGCAGTCTTCACTATATAGGGAGACCCTGTCTCAAACAAACAAAGCAATTGTTGGAGGCTTAGGAGGAAGAAGGCAGTGGTGAATTACTGCTTCAGCCTTCAGCCCAGGCTCCAGGGGGTCATGCCTGACCCGCTGCCTCTGTTGGTTCCAGGCATCTGTGGCTCAATCAACTACAGATCAAAAATATATTTTA